AACTGAGTATATTTGGAGGAATGGTTTGTGATTGCGATAGTCTTTATGAAAAAAAACTCAGGTGGGGAACACTGAAGCAATAAAAGGCAATATAAAGTCTCAGAAAAGAAGTGTCTGGTCAAACACAAAAAGTTTATAGAGATTGGTGACATAATGAGGGACATAAGCCAAACAAAGTGGTGCTATTCTAGGATTGCTTGTCTTGATCATACTATCCTTTAACTTTTTCAATCAGCTTTGCTCCCCTCCTCCAAATAATGTCTCCACCTCCTTTTATCTCCAGGCTTACATCAGAACTTAATAGTGGACTCACCTCAAGTCTGGGGCAGGCCCTAGATCTGCTGACATAATTCCCAGATACGGTATGCCCAATCCTTTCCTTTACCTTCTAAATTTATACTCTTTATAAACAATACAAAATACAAAGTTCAGATCTGTGAATGAGAACCAAGAATCTGCACTGCAAGATTTTTTGCTTTAAGGCATCTCTAAACCAATAAAAATAACGATGGGAGATTTTGTCAATCTATTTACAAAACATTCTAAGCACTGCAGGGAGAGATCATCTTCACAAAACAAGTAAGTCACCCGCCAAAGGTAAGCCAACAAACCCAAGCATGCACCTAACTAGAACAGTCATTTCTCTGCCCGACGTCTCTCTGGGGGGATCGGGCGAACCAGTCCTTGCACTCGAGTCCGTGCTTGCAGCACTTCAAAGCTAGGTGACAAAATAAACAAGTTCTTTCTTTCCCCTCCGGTGGTCATGTCATCCACCTGTTGCATCACCCGGAAAGTGGCCGTCGGGATCTAGGGAAGGCGCAGCTCTGAGATCTCCAAATGATTCAGCTGGGCTATTTTCTTTATCAATTTTACCCACATTCATTTTTATGGGGCTGCTCTGGAGGGAAGGGTGTGCGGGCTTCCGTTCACCTTAGGAGACTCTAGCAGAGGGATCGACAGCCGGGACTTTCTGGACTTCGACGGGAGTTTTTGAAGACTTGGGCACAGACACAGGCACGCTTCCGCAGAAGCCGGGAGCAGCGGGCGCGGGCGCTCGGGACGCGGCGAGCGGGGCAGCCGCGGGGCCAGGCGGCGGCGGGGAGGTCGG